GAGAGAGAGAGAGAGAGAGAGAGAGAGAGAGAGAGGAAAGGAAGGGAGGAAGGAAGGATGGAAAAGAATATCTTCAGCTAAATGTTCAATTTTCTTGCTTAAAAATTATATTTATAAAGTACTAGAACACACTTCAGTCACATTCTTTACCACTTTATTATAAAGATCATCTTTCTTGCAGATTACAAAAACATGTGCCTCATTCCTATTTGATATTTGACCAGAATAATCTTTAACATCCTTAGGTTCACCAGCATTTTTTTCATGACAATCCAGGCTTTTATCCAATGTGCATCTCAAAATTCCTCCAGTCTCTACCCATTTCCTTGTTCTAAAGCCACTTTTACATTTTTACATTGTTACATTTGTAACAACCTAACTCACTTCTCAGTATCAAAATCTGTATTACTCTGCTTAGGCTGCCATTACAAAATATCATAGATTTAAACAACGTAAATTTGTTTCCCATTGCTCTGGAGCCTGAAAAGTTCAAGATAAACATGTTGGTGGAAAGGCTTCATGCCAGGGACTCTTCTCTTGGCTTGTAGGCAGCTGCACTCTTAAGGTAGGCTCATATGACTTCTGTGTATAACTCTTCTTCCTCTTCTTATAACATCATCAATCCTATCAGATTAGGACCCAATCCTTATGGACTCATTTAACCTTGACTACTTCTTAGAGGTCTTCTCTAGAAAGAGACACACATGAATTTTTGAGGAACATAATTTCGTCCATGGCATATGAATTATCTACTTTGGGCCCTACAAAAAACCTTATTACCTTTATATCATGAAATTTGTTTTATAGATGAGGAGACTGAGAAATAACCAGAGCTAGAGAAGAGATGAAGCAACAAACATGAGACCTGAGTCAGCTCCATTTGACTCTAGAGCTCTAGCTGTTGATCCTCACACTGTAATAGACACATAGATTTCTTATATTTTAGCAAATATGATAATGCTACTCAATTTGTCTTAACTTTTAAAGTTTTTATCAATTAAATTTACTTTAATGGGTACATAAAAACATAAAGTTGTATATATTAATTCAGTACCATGTGATGTTTTGATACATGTACAGATTGTGTAATCTTTAAATGAGGTTAAACATACCCATGTACTCAGACACTATCATTTCATTATGATAAAAAAAAACCTTTGAAATCCTTGCTTACAGATTTCTGAAATGGTATTTGTAATCACCCTATCATCCAATAGCACACCAGAAATTCTTGCTCCTAATTGTGATGGAGCATCCACTGATTAACCTCTCCTCATCCCTCCTTTTACCCTGTCCTTCCCAGCCTCTGGTGCATGCCATCCTACTCTAAACTCCATGGGATCAACTTTCAAATTCCACATATGAGCGAGAGCATACAATACTTGTGTTTTCTACACCTGTTTTATGTTACTTTACGTAGTGATCTGCAGGTCAATCCATGTTGTAGCAATTGACAGGATTTCCTTCTTTATATGAGTGAGTAGTATTCCATTGTTCATACTGTGTATACCACATTTTCTTTAAATATTCATCATCTGGCAGATGTTTAGGATGTTTACATCTCTTGTTTATTGTGAATCCAGCTGCAATTAAGATAGGAATGCAGTCTCTTAGACATATTGATTTCACTTCCTTTGAGATGAAATTGC